TCCATGTCGTTGGCTGCTGATAAATCAAAACTATCTACGTGATCTAATTGGATGTTGTGCCAGATGCAGGCTCAGTTACACATGCACAGACCACACATAAAATCAGAGCAGTCCGTGTCAACATACTTTTTATCTTTGGGGTTTTTAATGGGAAGTAGCAAGTGTAGCATATATGAATATGAGTATTGGGCTAGGACCTGTATCTATATAATCAGTTTAATGTCCGTAGTGGTTATTGTTCCAAATGTCCTACTGTAGAATAGGGGTAGTATGAGGGGTCTAGGCTTTGGACCTGGGGCAGCTCGCCATCAACTGGACCAGCATTAGCAATATCTCATAATTACCAATATATCATTACATAATAAAATGTCTCATATAAATTAATTCAATCAGTCAAAGCACTGATTCTCATATCAATGCACCATAAACAATAGTGCAAATATTAATCTAGCTTAGTGCACATAATCAAAACAACTATCTAATGTATGCAAACTTTAGCAGGAGGAGCACAGCAAAAACATACTCATAATAATAGGCCTCGGCGCCCACACAGAAAAATATAAGAAAGAGCTAACAGAGCAGCGCAGGCTAGCGCTAGTTTGACTCACCAGTTCCTCTTTAAAACACGGCACAGAGTGTGACAACTGCGTCGATTCAATTGTATGAGGCGCCTGTAGTGAAAGCATATCAATTACGGTTTGTAGAACAAAATAGGACGTTAGGTCGCGATAAATACCTGCAGCTCGCTCATTTCCAGCTCCCCTAGACAACACACCCACCGGTGAATGCAGTGCGCTTGTTTAGGGAAGTGTTGTTGCGCGAACTGCGGGGAACTCACGTTCGAACTCTCTCGCGAGCGCTACAACTACCGCGAGGCTTTGTTTCTTCAGAGACGGCATAGATAGAAAGAGAGATGCGGAGAAAGGTAAAAATGGCCCGGGTTACGCAAGTCTTTACAAGTCAATTGGCGCAAGTCCAAGTGAAAGTCAGAGTCATTGATGTTAAAGTCCAAGTCGAGTTGCAAGTCTTTTTATATTTGGTCAAGTCGAGTCTAAAGTCATCAAAATCATGACTCGAGTCTGACTCGAGTCCAAGTCACATGACTCGAGTCCACACCTCTGATGGGAGATATCTCCCATCATGCGTCGCGCCAAACGTGCGTGTGTGGCTCTCATGCACGCGCACAGAGGGGCTCGGCCGCGCTCTGACCAATCAGAGCTGATCATCAGAGCAGCGTGAGAGCGGAGCCAGAGCGGGAAGGCAGGGAGCAGAGTTTGTGGCAGTAGAGTGTGGATTTAAAGAAAACCGAAGGATTTAAGAAGAAGGTTGAGGTTGAGCGGTTTTAATTTACATTGAGATCTATGGGACTGTTTTCTGGGTTTTTCTGAATTTATTCTGCAGTACCACGGGCGCCCCCTGTGCTATAGGTGGGACAGCTATAAGCTAGTAATACCCTATCCAGTTATTATTACACAACTTGACAGCCAAAAAATGGTCAGGGGTTTCTCAACTGATTTAGACTAATGTTGGTGTTCTGAGTCCAAATATCACATGCATTTTGCTCTATCAGGTCAACTTTTTGAGATGCAGCCATAGTGTTACGGATTATGTTTGTCTACGTTATTATGAATTCTGCTTATCAAATTTGATGGAGTAAATAAAAACTGAATGACTTTGGATACGTTAACTTTTATTTCTTGAGGAAAATGGAAAAAACGTCAAGGGTTTCTCAGCTGATGATCTGCAGAAATGTGTTTTTTACGCAAAATCGATTAAAAATATTTCTGTAGCAAAAAATCCTGACCTGTTTGAACAAAACCAAGGTCATTTTCAGACTCAGAGCATCAAAATTAGTCTAAATCAGCTGTAAACCCTGGACTATTTTCAAAAAATATTTTTTTGTTACCCAATGTTATAGATCCATGACTCGAACCCATCATCGGGAACAAGCCGTTGAAATTGAATATTACTTACGCAAATTTTTACAGCATTAAGAATGTTTTTCCTCCTACAGAAACCACATTCAAATTAGAAATAAAATATAGCCCTCCCACTTCATTTTCAGACATTTTGGAAAAGGCTCCAGGAGCCACTCCAGGAGCATTAAAGAGCCGCAGGTTGCCGACCCCTGGCTTAGGCTGTCCCTCCTATATTCTTGTTGTTTCACGCCTCTAGGTAAATTCTAACCACAAATAAAGGGACAATTGACATAAAATACATGCATCCAGAAAATCAGCAGCTGCAGAGGCTAATCCACTAATGTCAGATATGCCCTTGGCATCCTGGACTGTCCACTGGAGCTGGGACTGAACGTCTGTTAAGGAAGTAGAAACATCTGACCGTGCTCTGGTCACTTGGCTGGCGGCCATTATAGCCCCGGTGTGCATAATTGGTTGTGTTCCCTGTGTTCATTTAAGCACTTATTGTGAAAGGGTAATGAACCTTTTCTTTTCATCAACTCAGAAATGTATTATTTTTAAACTGATTTCCTGGATTGGGCATGTTTCTAATTTTTAGTAATTCAAGAAAAGGGAAATTCATCCTAAGTATTTTGTATTAAGTTTATTAGAGCTTGGTAAAATTCAGCTGGTGTACATTAATGTCCTGTGGCGCAGAATCCCCTCAGAATACTCTCCATAACGCCAGCACCATGAATCTACGTTAAGCACTGGTTAGCAATTAGCATCATCACCGTCCACGGTGTGTCAGACAAAATGGCGGCCAATTTGCATGCATTTCAAAACTTGGCAGGTCCATAAAAATGTTCTCCCCTCAGCATTGACAAGCATGTGAAACTGCGCTGAGCCAATAGCCGACGAGGACCACGCTGAAAAGCCATCTTTTGAGTGAGAAAGGGGTCTTAAAGAATATATTGTACAATTCTGTTTCCGGTTGCAAATATGGTAGAGCGCTTACTCATCATTGTGTTTGGTTTGGTTTGGTCATGGATCTATTATAATAACTGGATAGGGTATGACTAGCTTACAGCTGTCCCACCCACGAGTGCCGGTGGCACCAGCAGGCAATAGAGATTTCTCACGTGACGTCACAAGGGCTTGAAGTCGTGAGGCCTCCGCCATGTTGGAGAACAAGCAAACGCAGTGTGTAGCGTGCACCCGTCAGGGCTGTGGCGCCAAGCCCCGGTGATCCAAGATGGCGCCCTATTCAAATGAAGTGCTTGTGCTCAGTAGCGCATGGGACTTCATGGGCGCTGACATATCAGAGGAACTCTCCTATATTTGGGCATCGTCTGGTTCTCCCGGTTCTGTGCAGTGGATTATCTCCCATGATGCTTTGTGCCAAATACGTGTGTGTGGCTCTTGTGTATGCGCTCTGACCAATCAGAGCTGCTGATCAGAGCGGGGAGGAAACGAGCAGAGTTTGGGGCAGTAAAGTGTGGAATTAAAGAAAACCGTAGGATTTAAGAAGAAAAAAAGTTCAGGATGACAAGGGACACTAAAATCCCCACAAAATCTGATCTTTATGAAAGTTGTAGGTTCTCCGTCAGCTGAGATCGAGCTGTTTTAGTTTACATTGAGTTCTATGGGACTTTTTTCTGGGTAGCTCCCGTGAATTTGGTCTGCAGTACCACGGGCGTCCCCTGTGACAGCTATAAGCTAGTAATACTCTATCCAGGTCTTATTATATAGATCCATGGATAAGATATACCTTTATTTGTCTCACAGTGGAGACATTTCAGTGTCATAGTTGCGCACATTACATCAGAAAAAGAAGAAAATAAGAGCTCTTAGATTGCACACATCAAATAGTTTATTATTTAATACTTATAATAATGCATCAAACTTATATGGCGCTTTTTTGGACACTCAAAGACGCTTTACAAAACACGTAGAAATAAACATTGAAAAACAAAATTAAGGAAAGGCAAGATGAAACAGGTGGGTTTTTAGGAGAGATTTAAAGTTCTGTAGTGAGTCTGAGTTTCTGACGGGTTGAGGGAGTGAGTTCCAGAGAGTGGGGGCAGCTGCAGCGAAGGCTCGGTCCCCCAAGGTTCGGTGTTTAGTCCTGAGGGGAGTGAGGAGGTTGGAGTCCGTGGATCTGAGGCGGCGGGAGGGACAGTGATGATGGAGGAGGTCAGTGAGGTAAGAGGGGGCCAGGTTATGGAGGGACTTATATTGGATGCGGTAATAGATAATAGACAATATCATTAAAATAAGATAAAAAATAAAATAAAAAATTGCATACTAAATATTCTAATAAAAGAGAAAACAAGTTAAATCAATATGGTCTATTGTTAAATGGAGGCCAAGCTAGCAGGTTAATGTTGCTTAGTGTTAATTTCTTAACATTTACATAATATAACATTGTTTTAACCAGTTATCTTTATAGTTACAGGTTAAAAAATACATTGGTGTAAGCGCAAGATCCATGCGTTGCTTAGAATCTCTGCTTATAAAATATACAGTATATTATACAAAACATTTACATGAAAAGTGGTACTTTCGATTTACGAGATCCATTGGTGCAGTTGAAAGCAGAACACAAGGGCATTTTTGCGCTGTTCACTCAGGTCACCGTTAAACAGGGCAAAAGCACCCGTGGAAGTGTTTGACAGGTATTTATAGTGCAGATTTGATTCCTTTTTGAAACAATTTATAGTCCCTCCCCCATTGGATCACTCACTTTCCTCTGCACTTTCCAGGCAACGGGCAAGTCAAGTGTGAATAATTTGTGAATTCAAAATGAATATTAATTTCTGCAATATCCACATTCATTTATATTCTCTTTATAATGGATTGTTAGCCGTAGTGTGAGAGGAGTATGCCATCTGAACAAAACCCAGCATGTGGATTATGGGCAACAGTTGCTGCGACCGGGCAGCCAAGACCTTTGGGCAGAACTTGGGGATGGCCGCCCACATCTAATGGTTTGGCCGTGGAGGACTCCGTTGGTGCAGCCTGGTGCCCTGGTTTTTGCACTTTTTACGGAGGCGGTCCGCCGTCTTGCTCATCTGCTGCGGCAGCAACGACCTCGGGAGGATGAAGAGTGTGGACTTGGTCGCAGCGATGAACCTACAGGACCTCCGCAGGGGGTTTCTATCCATGAACGTTATATTTTCGAAAATGACCGATCGACGCCTTTTCAATAGGCCAAAGAAATGTATCAACAATGTTATGTCTGGGTTTGTGAGTTTTTTCGGGGGGTGCATGGTCTGTCATCCTGAAGACGCAGCATCTGGAACAAAGTGAAGGAGCTGAGGCTGCATCCTGTGAGCCCAGAGTCAGTCTCTACAGGATCTGTCTGTCCACAAGTGCTGAGACCACTGGAGGATATGTGTGTATCGTTTTTATTGTTTACTGGATGTTCATAGAATTCATTAATTGTTACTATTGTTTATATTGTTTTAATATACATTTAAATGTGTTACTTGGATAAACATTGACATTTTTCTTGCATCTTTGTTTTCCACATACTTTAACCATAGGGCTGTGATATGGCTGAAAACAAATATCACAAATTAAGAAATTCATATCGGATCGATAAATCATATATATGATTGTTTTTTATTTATTTTTTAAAACGTAAATAAATACATTTGTGTGTCTGCTAACACATGTTAGCAGCCTTGTTTACAGTCACGGGAATGAGCTGGATCCCAAATTCCACAAGCATCTCCCCACACTATAGTCCTGGTTCAGCTCCTGTTTTGGCTGTTTTCACGAGTGTCTTGTGTCCCCGTGGCGGCTCTGGAAAAAGTTAATCTCTTGCCTTTTGCCGCATGGCAAACAGTCCTCTGCCTCTGCCGCCGCACCATGCTGTTCCTCGCACGGACGTGTTTAACCCACTGACACGGCACTGAAACACCATCTTTAGATCCTTATTAAATAGATCCATATCCATGGACGCTACGCATGTGCATTGTTTTTTGCTTTTCCAAAAGTTTTGCGGTTTGTAGTCCTGTGACATGTCGAGAAGCCTTTGGCCTACATAACCCCGAATGCCGTGCGCTTGTATCGGCTTAACTTCAGTGTTTTGTTCCAGTTTTTTTTCGAACGGACTGAAGTGAAACCATCGAATTTCTATCGACGCCGTTTTTTTATTGATATCGAACACGGTGTCTATTGTCAATAAATACTCGTGATCGTTTTATCGCTCACCCCTACTTTAACATTTGCATAATCAGTGAAACTTCAGTGTAGAATTACAGTTCCCTGCAAAACTTCAATGATGTTGTGGAATACATGTGGTGGTGTTGAAAAGTAAAAAATGACACACTTTTGCGAGAGAATTTCATCAACTGAATTTAGCCTCACAACGTTTAGGATCTAAAATCGATGAAACAAATGATCTTGCCTCCTTGAAACCATTCCAACCTCTTCTGAACTATTCCAATTGAATTACCACACTGTGACAACCGACATACACATCCGTCGCTCTTATCTTGTCTCAACGTCCGCAATTCGATGAAAAACACGGTGGAAAAAAATTAAGCTGTTTGGGCCACCCATGACACGATACCCATCCTCCCTGTTTATCTCTGACGATACCCCTTATAATAAATGGCGAACACACTCACACACAAACCTTCATCGACGCAATCCCACACACGCCAACCGCCTGGAGACAATAGCAATTTGGAGAATAGCATCTAAAATCAGCACTCGGGGGACGTTGAGTGATGTCCGCCTCGTTCCTGCAACTTGGAGAGAGAGGAGGGATCGTTGGCGAAGTTTATCGGACAGCGGAATGTAGGGTCGCGGTCCTAAGGGGGGATGTGAAAATAGGAAGGAGTATTGCAGTGGTATAGTCCGCGTTAGAATATGGTATTGTTTGGGACAAAAGATACAAAAAATAAGGGGGTTTTGAAAAAAGAGGTATCGATCATGGCAAATGGATAGGACACAGAGGAGCAGCCAACGGGAAAAATACAGGCAATGACTATTACAAAAGAGGAAGTGCAAAGGAGAATCCATTAGTCCTACAGAGGAAGTAGATCTAAATAAACAGTTGGCTCTTTTGCCGAATAGAGACTGGAGTAACCTTTAGGGGATGGGGGAAATATTCCACATAACCCAGGGGTCAACTCATGCTGGTCGGGCCACACCTGGTTTTTGACTTTACTGTTGAAAGGTCTCCTCATGATTATTACTATTATTATGTTTTCAGAATGATACATTTTATTTTTATTTTTGCTGCTACTCGACACCTGAATTTCTCCTACGGGGATCAATAAAGTATCTATCTATCTATTTATGTAATAATAATAATATGTAGGGTGAGAAAATGTCAATATCACACATAACTTAAGTTATTTACCTGATATCGGAGAATTGGATCAAAAACAACCATGTAATAAATACAATAATTGATAATAGCTTTATTTAGGGGCACCAGGGAATAACTCCCAACTGATAACGTGCATATGACGTGCATGTGTTCAGCCTTGGTAGGAGAAGTATTCTTTGAAGTATAGGTTTTAATAAAGCCAACAACCGTGTGTAGCAAGAGAGCAGATCATACAACCAGAATAGCCTTTGGTGAATAGCGGTCTTGATGGTGTTGGATGGAGGCTTCTTGTCCACGGGGCCTGGACATGGGCTGTATCATGTGGCTGAACCAAGTCCTCCCACGATCCACAGTCTAGGTGCCAAAACTCAGCAACTTCTTCAGGTTGAAGCTGGAGGCTATTGAAGAGGCCCAAAGCCCCTTGGTTGCCTGAGCAGAGCCCAGGGCAGAGGAGGCTGGTCACTCCGTGGTTCCTAAGCAGGCTAGTTTCTCTTCCCTGTGGGTCCTTGTAAGTCTTCACATCTTGTAGAGTCGTTGGGGGAAGGGTGTTGCCATGGCACTTATCTTAAGACATTCTTACCCACAATACAACCTGAACCACAAGGATTTACACACAGTGGAGACAGAAGTTATAATATGTCTCAATATACAACAAAATGTCTTTGATTGAGGAAAGGGGTCATTTTAATTTCTCCTACAAATAATAATAATCTTTATTTGTATAGAGCTTTATAGCGGACCCGAGCTTAGAGAGAGATAACTGCCCGAGGATGAGAACATACATTTTATTTATTTATATATATACAGTACCATCTATCCATCCATCCATTTTCTTCTGCTTCATCCGTTGCCGGGTCGCGGGGGCAGCAGTCTAAGCAGGGACGCCCAAACTTCCCTATCCACACACACTTCCTCCAGCTCGTCCAGGGGGAACCCAAGGCGTTCCCAGGCCAGCTGAGAGACATAGTCCCTCCAGCGTGTCCTAGGTCTTCCCCGAGGCTTTACTGTATAGATATTTTGTATAGTCCTGAATCAAAACAGCAATCTTCTTGGAGGTCGAACGGATCAGAGAATCAGAAGAAATGCAGTAATAACAAACACACACAAGCCATTATTCGTTAGGGAGCGGGGTGACCACTGTCCATAAATGTTTATGTAATGTGCATAAATCTCCTTTAATGTCCTGGATCATCACTGTCCTTAGATTCTCCTGAATCAGCAAAGAACCACTCAAAAACAAACCTCGGGTGTAGGCCCAGGACTCAGGCTGTAGATGAGGAGTTTTTATATACACACATGTAGACATACAGTATGTGCACATATGACTTTTATAGTGACCTTCCTGAGCAGGCAGAATACTTGTGCCAGGCCAGTTTGCAGTGATTATGTTTATTATTTTTTTTGCATTGGTGTACTGTACGTCTTATTATCAATTCTACTGTTGTGTTTCTTTTAATAACTGCTATCAAACAGTTGTGATTGCGGCACTTTATTTAAATGGCTCCATTCATACTCAGACAAACCAACACAATGGCGCAGTAATTGTTGTTTTTGTTCACTTTTTCCTCTATGAAAACAAGTAATGAATTTATTTGCATCATTTAAAGGGATGGATTTATTGTCCTCTGTCAGGGAACACGCCGTGCTGCTACAGGCGCTTTACAAGATAAACAATTGATGCCCTTGTTGCAACACATGTGCAGTCATCTGTGGAAATCTTCCGTTTGCTTTTACTTCTTCTATTGTGCTTTTGATCTGAGATTAAAAACACATCGACTAAAACAAAGAGTGCTCTTAATAATGTGTGATCTCATGTTGGCCCTCAAACACAATCTCGAGAAGATTAACTTTGCAGTGAAATACTTTATTTACGAGTGGTACATGAGGTGAATAAACACATCTAGTGGAAGAATGGGGACATTGCACTGTGCTGGATTTAGATCCAAATCAAACACGACATGATTGAAACACGAAACACGACAAACACTAATGATTGAAAGCATGCGGTTTTAAATCATGTAATTTGAATTGAAACAATTCTCAATCAGAAATGGAGACAATACACGTGTTTTAACCCTTGTGCTATCCACGGGGCAAAGTCATTAAGAAATACCCTAAATATTTCAAATTTTTTTCTAGCTTAATTTAGATGATTTTGGCGTGTCATTTTGTCAGGATAGCAAAAGTCTGACAGTGTATCTAAGTGTAACAAGTTTGAGTATATAACAAACAACTACACAACTTGCTACAAATGGTAAAGCCTGTACCTGTGGGAGTCTTTGTATGGCTCTTGGATCATTGACGATGGCTGGACCCATATCCACTTAACCCTGACAAAATGATATTAGCGTGGGGACAAGGCTAAAAGCGGTTGGAGGTTCCCTAAAATTTTTAGTAAATATTATTGCCTGGAAAAGCATAGAAAACACACAACATGATAAATAAATGCATTTCAGACAATACGTTTTTGGAAAATGTATGTATTTCTCCAAAATAGACATTAAACAAGCTGTACGCTATATGACTTCATCGCCTTTGGGATCTGCCATATGATGCTCCCTGGAAAGGTCAGTCCCATGTGAAGAAGCTTTCGGGAGGTTAAAAAGCAGGAGGGCGGGGCACATGGCTCCTTTTGGCGACAAAGATGGCGCCTCGTACGGTCGACATGGCTCTTTGCTGCTCTCTTTTTCTTTTGTTTTTACTTTTTAACTGCGCATCTGGCTGTTCCTACACCCGTGAGGAACTTATGAACATCTGACCCACCGTTCCCATGGACCTATTGCCTGTTTTCTTGGCATCTGCGGCTGATTTAGTTCATGTTCTAGCCAAAAAAAGTGTGGGCCCGTAAAAGGGGAAAGCGCGGAGGCCTGCTCGTGCGTCTTAGGAGGAGAGGAGCGCGCACGGCTCTCCCCGGCATTTTTCTCTCCAACGTACGCTCACTGGGCAATAAGATGGACGAACTCAGCCTGCTCATGAGAAGAAACAAGGACTTCGCCACATCCTGTGTCCTCTGCTTCACTGAGACCTGGCTAAATGAGCGGATCCCGGACTGCGCTCTGGAGCTGCAGGGCTTTGGGCTGTTCCGCGCGGATCGCCATTGTGCGCTCTCAGGGAAGAGCAGAGGCGGTGGGCTGTGTTTCTACGTCAATACAAACTGGTGTAACGATGTGACAGTGATCTCCAAGCACTGCTCTCCTGCTCTGGAATATCTTTTCATTCATTGTAAACCATATTACTCCCCGCGCGAAATTGTTTCGTTCATTCTTGCCTCTGTTTACATACCGCCATGCGCGGACGCGCGCGAGGCTCAGCGCGCACTCGCAGAGCAAGTACTGTGTATGGAACGCTTATACCCGGACTCTCTGATTATTATCCTGGGGGATTTTAATAAGGGAAACTTGAGCCAGGAATTACCCAAATACAGACAGTTTATCAAATGCCCGACCAGAGAGGAGAACACTCTGGATCACTGTTACAACACCGTACGCGGAGCTTTTCGCGCTGTTCCCAAGTCAGCCCTCGGCTTCTCAGATCACTCCATGATACATCTGGTTCCTGCTTACAGACAGAGACTAAAGCTCTCGAAACCTGCAGTGAGGAGCTCCAAAGTGTGGTCTGATGAAGCTGTGGAAGAGCTGCGCGCATGCATGGAATCTACAGACTGGGACCTTTTCAGAGCTGTCACAGATAGTTTGGATGAATACACGGACACTGTGACGTCATACATTCACTTCTGTGAGGATAGCATCATTCCAACAAGGACCAGGGTCATCTATAACAACGACAAACCCTGGTTCACTGCTAAACTCCGGCAGCTCATGAAAGCAAAGGAGTCTGCTTTCAGGGAGGGGGACCGCAGCGGCTACAAAGCAGCTAAATATCAGTTCAGGAGAGAACTGAAAGCAGCCAAGTCCCGGCACAGAGAACGACTACAGGAGCAGTTTGGTAACAACGATACTGCTTCTGTCTGGAGGGGCCTACGGGAGATCACCAACTACAAACCCAAAGCCCCCCCCTGTGCTGACGACCACAAGCTAGCTGACGATCTGAACTTATTTTTCAGTCGCTTTGATGCTGCCCCTGACACCTCTCCCTCCCCCACCCCCCACTACTCTAACGACCCACCCATCAGCCCTGCCCCCAGCCTAACAATAGCCGCTAAAGAGATTAAACAACTCTTCCTGAGGCTGCACCCCCGCAAAGCTCCTGGCCCGGACCACGTGTCTCCGGCCACTCTGAGACACTGCGCCAGTGAGCTTACTCCTGTGTTCACGGACATTTTCAACACCTCTCTGCAGTCCTGCCATGTCCCGGCCTGCTTCAAATCCTCCATCATTGTCCCCGTCCCGAAGAAGCCCAGGATCACAGGACTCAATGACTACAGACCTGTAGCACTTACGTCTGTCGTCATGAAGTCATTTGAACGCCTGGTTCTCTCCCATCTCAAGTCCCTCACCTCCCCCCTCCTGGACCCCCTGCAGTTCGCCTACAGAGCCAACAGATCTGTAGACGACGCCATTAACCTGGCCCTCCACCACATCCTACAGCACCTGGACTCCCCGGGGACCTACGCCAGGGTCCTGTTCGTGGACTTCAGCTCTGCCTTCAACACAATCCTGCCATCCCTGCTCCAGGACAAGCTCTCCCAGCTCAACGTGCCCGATTCCACCTGCAGGTGGATCACTGACTTCCTGACGGACAGGAAGCAGCGAGTGCGTCTGGGGAAGAATATCTCGGACTCTCGGATTATAAATACAGGAGCCCCACAGGGCTGTGTTCTTTCTCCCCTGCTCTTCTCCCTGTACACCAACCACTGCACCTCCAGCCACGACTCCGTGAAGCTGATCAAGTTCGCGGACGACACCACCCTCATTGGACTCATCTCCAACAACGATGAGTCCGCCTACAGGAGGGAGGTGGACCGGCTGGTGTCCTGGTGCAGTGGTAACAACCTGGAGCTGAACGCCCAGAAGACAGTGGAGATGATTGTGGACTTCAGGAAGAGCACTGTCCCCCCGCCCCCACCCTCCGTGATGGACTCCCCCATCACCTCTGTGGAGTCCTTCCGTTTCCTGGGCACCACCATCACCCAGGACCTCAAGTGGGAGCCGACCATCAGCTCCCTCATCAAGAAGGCCCAGCAGAGGATGTACTTCCTGCGGCAGCTCAGGAAAGCCAAGCTGCCTGCACAGATGTTGGCGCAGTTCTACACGGCCATCATCGAGTCCATCCTCACCTCCTCCGTCACCGTGTGGTTCGCTGGAGCCACAGTCAGGGATAAACAGAGACTACAGCGCATTGTGCGCTCTGCAGAGGAAGTGATCGGCCGCAGCCTTCCATCGCTGCAGGACCTGTACGTCGCCCGAGCTCGAGGCCGGGCTGGTCGTATCACAGCCGACCCCTCTCACCCTGCACATGGACTATTCAAACCACTCCCCTCAGGCAGGAGGCTGCGGTCCATCAGGACTAGAACCTCCCGCCACAAGAACAGTTTCTTCCCCTCTGCTGTTGGACTCTTGAACACTTCTTAACCTGTCCCCCCGCCCTTTATAAAGTCACTTTACTGCCCATCATACGTCACTTTACTTCACTGTACTGCTGTCACCTTACATTGTGTGCACCATGTGCACTTGTATATTGTAAATAGTAACTGTAACTCTATTTTAAATTTAAATTTATTCTTTAGAAGTGTTTTTTATTCTTATTTTTATTATCTCTTTTTGACTGTTGCACTGAGCCAAAGCAATTTCCTAGTCTGTGACCTCCTGTTACTTACGTGGCAATAAAAATGATTCTGATTCTGATTCTGATTCTGATTTATGTACATGAGACTCAGACTAGTGATGTATTACAGGAGACATGTGGAGTAAAATCAGTCTTTTTGCGCATTTAATCATTTTACAAATTGCTTTTAGATCCATCCAGGCTATTTTTAGTAACTTCTGGCACAAACATGTAACTCTGCCTCTCCAACCGCAAAGATCCTATCTAAAACAATGCTATGATTAAATTGTAACACTATGATATCACATAAAAGTAAAATGTCTCATTATCATTTTAATTGGCCAAAAATAATGTATTATGATTTTTTTCTTTAAATGGCAGCAGCTGGCCTTAAAAGCCTACATATTTATCATTTTCTGGCTCTCTGAGGCACAAAAAAAAAAAAAAAAAAAAATGAATGTCAGGTAGCTGAAGCTAAACAGGGCAGGGCCTGGTTAGTCCTTTGAAGGTAGACCTCTGGGAACACCAGGTGCCACAGTGGGGCGGCTGCGGCTGCAACTGTAAATTGCCAAACCGCCATTGTGTATTTAGGCAAGACACTTTTCCCACATTAGAATGAGTCTGATGTGTGTATGAATGGTGTATGAATTCGCTTCTGTCAGTGTGCCCTATGTCAGCTGTGACTACAAAAGGAGTTAATCACTACAGTTTATCGAGTGAATGAATAATGTGGAAAATGTAAAGCGTCTCTGAGTATCTAAAAAGCGCATTATAAAACTTATGGATAATTATTAAGAAGTCTATCTTATGAAAAGAATAACTCAAGTTTAGTAGACATACAGCCACTTGCAGACCATTCCCCTATTGTAATATGTTTTGGATTGAAATGGATGAATAGGAGAAAGATAAGTTTATACCCGACTGTGAAATATTGCAACACTCCCTGCATCAGAAAACCTTAAGTATACACCATTAGACTCACAACTTGAATCATTTGATTACAGCATGGTACTTGTCTGATTTCATTTGGTACTAGTCTAATCTCATTTGATATTTTTGTCTAAGAATGTTTGGTTGCAATGGGCCGTCATATTGATCTTTATAAAACTTGGACTTTTGTGGATCCAGAGACTTGTGCTCGACTTGGACATCCTGGGCAGAGACTTGGACTTATGTGCATCTCTGCCTCCCTTCTCAGATACATAAAGATTGGTGACAAAGAGTGTGAGTTCAGCCCAAATTTCCGGCTCATTCTGCACACCAAACTGGCCAGTCCGCACTACCAGCCCGAGCTGCAGGCCCAGTGCACCCTCATCAACTTCACTGTGACACGGGACGGGCTGGAGGAGCAGCTGCTGGCCTCTGTGGTCAGCATGGAGCGGCCCGATCTGGAGCAACTCAAGGTACTGCACATCCAGCACCAAGTATTCAGGGACATGTTTATGTTGTATCTGACTTCCTCACTGTTGATCATTGTACTCTGCAGTTGACCGCCGTGTCTGTTTATGTAGCCGGTTCGGAGCTAGTCTTCATGTTGGTTCTTAAACATCACATTTGATCACATCAACATTTGTTTTCACATTTCAGAATGCTAAATCCTTTGTTGAGTAAACTTTTGGGCCAGGACTTTATTTAATCTAATTAGTTAGAAATTAATCTAATTAATTAGAGGCTTAGTAATTTATAAATAAAATGTTTTATAACATTTTAATCACATATAAATATCTGACTTGAGGACAGTGAGAAGTATTTTTTGACCTGTCACAGTGATTAAAACAATACCCTAATATGATTTTTCCTAATTTGATCAGCCCTCAGTCATTTAGACCCTTTTTTGACATTTAGACAAATTTAGGTATTTTACCTCTACTTTTATTCGTCTGTGGCAGGTAATTATGACCCTGGTTATGACTAACGACTCACCCGGGCACATTACATATGTGACGGTAAACTCAGATCCAATCGTTTCAATCTGAAAAAGGAGTTAACCTCATACATTTCTACCACACTTCACTAACCATCGCACAAAGCAAGAGGCGAGGTGGTCCGGGGACCTGCGGCATTAAATGTTCTTACAACTTTGCTTAGATGTCTTTTTCTCAAAGGCGTTTCTCAATCTTGAACTATTGTTCCATCTGAAAATTGCTCAGCGCAAATACTCCTGCTGGGTATTTCATGACGGTATCTGCCTGTAGAAATTAAAACCGTGTTAGCTATTTCTCGAGCAGGCTTGGCAGAATGAATCAATGTCCGACACCCGTTTCATTTGCTATCACGTCCTACAAAAGTGCCAAGATTTGTTTGATTTTGAATGTCATCAGTGATCGTGGTATCTCCCATCAAAAAGTAAAAATGTGAATATTTGTGTGTTGCAGAGAGAGAGCCTGAGAAAATATCGAGAGGATCTGCAATCTGCCCTGCGGAAGGTAAGAAGCGACTGTTTTTCCAAGAAGCCGCCGTGGTCTTGCTTAGGAAAAAACCAGGACTACAATATTGTTCGAGACGTGGTGCTGAGTGGACCACGCTGTCTCTTCGCAGCAAGAATGTCCTGGGTTCGAATCCCGGTCGGAACAGGCCTTCAGAGTGGGTTTGCTGGCCTCCCCGTGCTGCGTAGGTTCCTCCAGTTGCCACCGGTTTACCCTATCACAAAAATAAGTGATATTCAATCGTATAAATGTAATGTTGGTTGGGGCTTTGTGTTCGATAGCGTCTCGCTTCCTTCAATGTTGATTGAAAGGAAAAAATAGCAAACCTCAACAATCGACAGGCTTTGGCTGACCCTGAGCTTAAAATGCGCTATATAAAGTAAATATTACATACTATAACTATTCAGTTACTTGTACCCTTGTTTTTGACAGAGGTAAAACACATATATATTCTCAGCTGTTCCCTATATACGGTGACATCTGCCGCGATACATCGGTCACACCAATGCTGTTGAGGCTGAGGACATCGAACAGCTGATCATAATGCAACTGGGGGCCCTCAGGTTATTCATCGGCCCTGGGACACACCGCTCTCTTCAACACACCACTCAAATCACAGAACATCATCGACCATAATTTCCACCTGGGCTCACTTAGTCAAGCGAATAATACCTTCAACAAACACCCAATTCAACGTAATTGTCCGTACAGACAGATTTGTCAGAGACCAGCCACATAAATGAGCTCAAGAAAGTGCCGAATCAATGTGAATTATGGTGAGATGAAGTGCTATTGCTTCAACGCACCAGTGACAGTCTCTGTGATGTTTGTTCAACGCTCGAGCAGGAGCGTGCGCATCCCTGCCTCCTCGTGCCGGTACGGCGTGGTCCCGTTGTGTTGTCCCTTGTCTTCTGGCGTTGTGGGTAAGTATGAGACCTGCGGACGGTTTTTTCCCCTCGCATTGTACTACAGGCTCAGTTCGCCCCGCGCTTTGTACTGCAGGCTCAGTTGGCCCCGTGCATTGGTGGGCAAGCTGCAGTTTAAAGCCCTCGCATTGGTCTGCAGGCTCTCTTTAACCAAGCTCCGTTTAAATCCTTCACTCTGACTGCAAGCTCCGTTTATTCCTCACATTGGACTGCAGGATCTCAGTTTAATCCCTCACATTGGACTGCGTGCTCTCAGTTTTAATCCCTCACTTTGGCCTGCAGGCTCTCTTAAATCCCTCTCCGGACTACGAGCTCTGTTTAAATCCCTCTCTTTGGACTGCAAGCCCCGTTTAAATCCCTCTTGGACTGCGGCTCCCAAATTGAATCCCTCACATTGGACTGCGAGCTCTCAGGTTAATCCCTCACGGAACTGCTATATCTGGAACTGCTATATATGGAACTGCTATATATGGAACTGCTATTATATGGAACGGCTTATATACGGAACTGCTTATATATGGAACTGCTCATATTGGAACTGCATATATGGTACTGCTTATATCTGGAACGCTTATATGTAAAAATAAATAAATATAAATAAATATAAATAGATATAAATAGATATAAATAGATATAAATAGATATAAATAGATATAAATATAAATATAAATAAATATAAATATAAATATAAATAAATAAATGAAAATAAAAAACTGCAGGCTTTGTTGGATCCCTCACACTGTTGTAAGCTTTCAGTTTAACCCTCTATGGCATACTGTTGCCCTCGGGCAACAAACCAATCTTTTGGCTCTTACACTGGCCCTTTAATGTTTTTTTTATTTTTTATTTTTATAAAATTACTAGACATGTTTCTGTGGGTGGGGGCAATTGTCTGGGGGTGGAGCAGTCCTTTCAGGAAGCAGAGTCACAAGTGACACAGTGCCAGAAAAAGGAAGGATAAATATAACTTTTCTACATGTTTAAATTCGAAAAACTTGATAAAATAAATATGTGACTATGCATGAATATGTTAAGAAGCATATTTGATTGTTAATATATGTTTTTTGTTTCCATTTATATACAAAAACTGCACGTTTAGGTTTGTTGCCTCAAGGCAACATCATGCAGTTGTAGCACTTTTGTTTGGGCAGTGTAATGCTGCTGGTTGGGGATGTGCTTGAATGGATAATCAACACCACACTCAATGTTTTTTGCTGTTCTATCTTCCATTCTGATCTATCTACTATTGCTTGTAGGAAATGGATGCAATAACGTTTTACGGGTCCAAGAATGAAGGAGTTAGGGACATTCCAATCGATAGTCCTGGTCTCAGGTCTCTGTCCTGAAGTCCTCCCACATTAGTCCTGGTCTCAGGTCTCTGTCCTGAAGTCCTCCCACATTAGTCCTGGTCTCAGGTCTCTGTCCTGAAGTCCTCTCACATTAGTCCTGGTCTCAGGTCTCTGTCCTGAAGTCCTCTCACATTAGTCCTGGTCTCAGGTCTCTGTCCTGAAGCCTCTCACATTAGTCCTGGTCTCAGGTCTCTGTCCTGAAGTCCTCTCACATTAGTCCTGGTCTCAGGTCTCTGTCCTGAAGTCCTCTCACATTAGTCCTGGTCTCAGGTCTCTGTCCTGAAGTCCTCTCACATTAGTCCTGGTCTCAGGTCTCTGTCCTGAAGTCCTCTCACATTAGTCCTGGTCTCAGGTCTCTGTCCTGAAGTCCTCTCACATTAGTCCTGGTCTCAGGTCTCTGTCCTGAAGTCCTCTCACATTAGTCCTGGTCTCAGGTCTCTGTCCTGAAGTCCTCTCACATTAGTCCTGGTCTCAGGTCTCTGTCCTGAAGTCCTCTCACATTAGTCCTGGTCTCAGGTCTCTGTCCTGAAGTCCTCTCACATTAGTCCTGGTCTCAGGTCTCTGTCCTGAAGTCCTCTCACATTAGTCCTGGTCTCAGGTCTCTGTCCTGAAGTCCTCTCACATTAGTCCTGGTCTCAGGTCTCTGTCCTGAAGTCCTCTCACATTAGTCCTGGTCTCAGGTCTCTGTCCTGAAGTCCTCTCACATTAGTCCTGGTCTCAGGTCTCTGTCCTGAAGTCCTCTCACATTAGTCTGGTCTCAGGTCTCTGTCCTGAAGTCCTCTCACATTAGTCCTGGTCTCAGGTCTCTGTCCTGAAGGTCCTCTCACATTAGTCCTGGTCTCAGGTCTCTGTCCTGAAGTCCTCTCACATTAGTCCTGGTCTCAGGTCTCTGTCCTGAAGTCCTCTCACATTAGTCCTGGTCTCAGGTCTCTGTCCTGAAGTCCTCTCACATTAGTCCTGGTCTCAGGTCTCTGTCCTGAAGTCCTATCACATTAGTCCTGGTCTCAGGTCTCTGTCCTGAAGTCCTCTCACATTAGTCCTGGTCTCAGGTCTCTGTCCTGAAGTCCTCTCACATTAGTCCTGGTCTCAGGTCTCTGTCCTGAAGTCCTCTCACATTAGTCCTGGTCTCAGGTCTCTGTCCTGAAGTCCTCTCACATTAGTCATGGTCTCAGGTCTCTGTCCTGAAGTCCTCTCACATTAGTCCTGGTCTCAGGTCTCTGTCCTGAAGTCCTCCCACATTAGTCCTGGTCTCAGGTCTCTGTCCTGAAGTCCTCTCACATTAGTCCTGGTCTCAGGTCTCTGTCCTGAAGTCCTCTCACATTAGTCCTGGTCTCAGGTCTCTGTCCTGAAGTCCTCTCACATTAGTCCTGGTCTCAGGTCTCTGTCCTGAAGTCCTCTCACATTAGTCCTGGTCTCAGGTCTCTGTCTTGGCTGTGAAACATCTATGTTTCACAGCCACTAGCAACTGCTTCTTGCTGTTCCATACACAATAGGCTACCGAGACCCGCAGCTGTGTGACTTACTAGAGGCTCAGAACTGTTTTTGCTTTTGTTTATGCAATCTGGAGTGCTCTGTACCCGTTTAAAAAAGTTGAGCTTGAAAAATAAAAAAATAAAAGCTTCTCTAATGTATTTGTTTTATTATTTTCCTAATTCAATGTAATATTGAAAACCTTGGTGTTTTAGTACCCTCGTCGCACAATGTTGCCCTTAAGCAACAAACCATTATCTGATTGGGGGGGTGGGGGGGGGGGTCAAATGTAAAGATCAATGTTATTAGGGACCCACGAGCTCTTAAAAAGTGTGTTGAAATATTTTTTTCCCCCTAAAATAAAAAGTCATGCCATAGAGGGTTAAA